TTAGCTCTAAGATTAATTCTTGGTATATACAATAGATTAAATATCAAACTAATCTCTTATACATTATTACTAATACCAAATCTAGATAAATCTTAGCCACTTCAGTTGGTTTAGGTTGCAGATAAATTAGTCTGAGTTTCTATTCTTGCTATAATATTTTATAAGTAGATTTAAACTTTATATACAAATCTCAGTTAAATATTCAATAAAAATAGAGGCATGGCCTTACCATTAACATTTAAAAAAAAATAATATACATTTATATGCCTATTTTACATTACTAATTTGTCACTATTTATTAAAATATTTAATGTTTTTTTTTTAGTTTGAATTTACTTTTTTTATTATAATTTATTTATTTACTTATTATTACTTTTTTTTAGTTTAATTTTACTTTTATTTATTATTATTTATTTATTTACTTATTATTTCTTTTTTATTTTATTTATTTATTTGTTAGACAGTTTTTACTTTTTATCTTTTTTTGGTTGTTTTTTGGTTGTTTTTTCTTTTAAGATGAGGGGCCATAACACTGGTAACCTGGTCTGAATTTCATTTTGCATAATACTTAATTTTTTTTTTATTTGTTATTTTTTATTTATTTAGTTTTTGCTCTTTATTAATTTTTTTTTTCATTTTTATTAGCAGAATGATAGCATACTTTATTTGGAGGCTTTTTAATTCAGAATAATGCATTTGCATTATTATGAACATATTCATTATAGTGAATAATTTTGAAATTATAAGGCTGCAGCTTAACATCCAATGAGCTTATCAATTATTTAACACAAAAGTTTGAAACTACTTTAAAGTAGAATGATTAGTTATTACAACAAAAAGGTTCAACTTGATGTAATAGCAAAAATGTTTAATTATTTAAAAGACAACAAGACACTTATGTTCAGTGGTAGTATAATTCATTTAAGCTTTGATTAATCCATAGCATGCATATATAAAAACATATTTTTATTTTGATTGTCATTTTGTACTAATATAGCACCTAGACCAAACTCAAAAGTGCTATATAAATTATGAACACTTTATCAAATTTAGATAATATAAAATTAGCATATTGATGAGACATTGCTTAATTTATTAAAGGTGTTGTTTTAACTTTTTTTCTATTTGAATTTAATATTTTTTTATAATAATAAATGCAAGGAATATGCTATAGCAATAAATTTAAGAATGACTTCTGATAATATAAAGCTAACTCTAAAAAATCTTGTAATTTATGAAGAGACTGGAGATAAAAAAGTTATGAACTTTCTTTACTTTTTCTTTATTTGGATGAATGCCCTCTCTACAAATAATATAACCTAAAAATTAAAAATGAGCTTTAAAGAAAAAGCACTTATACAGATTTAATTTTAACCTTATACTTCTTAATTTATTAAATATAATAACAAGATGATTAGTATAGTTTCTGAATATTGGTAAATATATAATAATGTTATCAAGATACATAATAATAAATTAATCTAAAAACTTAGCCAACCTTTATTCATTATTCATTTAAATGTAACAAGAGCATTCATCAGACCAAATAACATTATTACAAATTTATAAGTCCTAAAATTCATAATAAATATAGTCTTTTTTCTATCAGTAACCTTTACTCAAATTTGCCAATATCCAGATAACAGGTCTAAAGTCAAAAACTATGCAGCTGATCCAAAAACTTCCAGAAAGTTATAAACATGTAGAAGAGAAAGTGTATTCTTCTTTATAACTGAATTATGCTTCTAATAGTTGATACAAAGGCATAGTTTGCAACCTTTTTTTAGTACAATCATCATAAAAGATGCTTATAGGCTGATACTTCCTTTAATAAACCTTTTACTTTTAACTTTTTGATTTCATCTTTTATAAAACTGCATATACTAAAGGTAGTACAATAGTGAATTTACTTAATCAGAGAAGCACTTTCAGTATTTATTTTATAAATATATATTGACATTTGTTCAAGATTGTCTATAGTTTCAGTGAAACAACTACTTCCTTACTCAATATATTATTTATATGGTTCTTTTGATTGTTTATTAAGGCTTCATCATTGAGGTTCTTCTTTAATTTTTTGATTACACTTTCTTCTTTTTCTTTAGATTCATCTATAAGAACACTTTTAACACCAGACAGATGCATAGCAAAACTTTCATAATTAAGCTACAGATTGTTATACAACTTCAACTTACTATATTAGTTAGTTAAGAACTCTTTTACTTCATCTAAATTTTTGTTATTGAATTCAAAATTATTAAATAAGTCTTGATTATCTGACTTTTATAATTTTTCAGACTCAACTTTTACTGCTAGAAATATTGACAAAATTTTTTCTTTATAAAACATAGATATTTTCACAAACTTATTTTAATATTGCATATACAATTTTTATTCAACAGCATGCAAATAGGTGTCAGTTTGGTAAAACCAATCTATATCCAACAAAAGTGTTTATTTAATTAATTCTTAATCTGAAAAGTGGTCAGAACTACTATACTACTTATGACTAACATAAGGTTAATTATTTTTCTAAGAGCCCTTACTCTGGTTTTATTTGCAACAATGACCATTGTAATGAAAGGTTCATTAATCTTTAATTGTAGTTTTTTCACTATTTTATTTGATATTATACTGATGGCATTATCTAAATTAAGTACAGTTATTATAGAGTTTTCTTTCATTCTAATATGGCAATAAGAAGTGATAGTTTTTGTGATTGTGGTAACTTGTGTAATTGTTACTTACATATTAATTAGTTCAGGATTCTGTGTTGCTACTAGTACTAAAGATCTTTTTAACACATTCACTAAATAACATTTTTAATCAAGTTATTGCAATATTTGACTATATGTAATATTGGCTTTTATATTTAACAAATCTTGCACAATATTATATAGATACAGATTATTGATTACTAAAGATCCTTTTTTTCTACAGAGTACTTGTGAAAATCAATTAGTATAGGTATTGCTAATTTAGACATTACTGAAATAAGTATTATTGAAGCAGTTGTTACTAATAAGTTTTCACTATGACAGACATAATTTTAGGGGCCTGGTTAGGTTAGAATTCTTTATTAGCTGGCATGAGTGCTATTTTTCTATAGCAGCTTGGTCTTTGAGTAGTGTATAGTTAATGGCAGACAGCAGAGGCATTAAAGACTTTATTTTTATTAATGTTTTTTTCTTGTTTATTGATTACACTTATGTGATTGGTGTTTTTTAGACAGGAAAGGATCTGAATTAGTATTATAATATAATTCATATAAACTTGAAACTGGACTTGGAATGTTACTTGATTTTGCATTTGGGGCTAATTTTGGTTTTAATTTCTTTCTGACATACAATTATACAAGATATGTTGAGGTTTTTCATAATTATAACAAATTACACAGGCATTATTATTGCTATAATTATTATAATTACTGTAATTACTATAATTATTATTAGCTTAGAATCTTGCTTTGAAATATGTGGCTAATGCAGTAATCAACTTTTTGTATCTTGTAATTAGTACTTACATTTGTTAAATTAATTGGACAGCTTTACTATCATGTTCTTTTTCTCTTCTACCTTTCTTATTGTAATATTCTTTAGTTTTAATTTTATAAGCACCTTGTATTGTAGCATCCAAACTATCAAGGTCTGTATACTTAATTATTCAGCAGTTTTGGCTTTGAGGCCTTTTAAAAATATTTATATAACATACAATCTAGCAAGCTGATTTTTGGAATTCATCTTTCACAACAATTTCTTGAACTTGTATATATATAAATCTATTCACTTAGACAGCTGCTATTTTAATTCATTCAGATTGATCTGTCACTTGTGCCATTTTTCAGGAATCACAAAATACTGAATAAATAATTGAATAAGACTTTCATCTGAATAGGTTTTCTTATTCTAATATACTAGATTATTCTTTACTTCATTATGCAAACTTATAGCAATTTCAAATAGGTAACTAAAGGCTATCTTTATTTTGCATTTAAAAGACTAATTATTGATATTAGCTATATGATTAAAAACTTCTACTTACTCAAGAGGGTTTTCTTCTTTGTCTTTATAAAAAGTGTTCACATGGTCTAAATTGGTTTCATGAATAGAAGGTCTAGCAGTAGCAGTAACTTCTACAGTTACTTCTTTAAATCTAGTTACAATTTTTTGCAGAATTAATTCAAGAATATCTTGGTTTGTGCTTGTGCTTGTCTTCTATTATTGGTTTGATTGTTTCTATTTGGCAAAAGGCTGTTCACAGACATATAGTGACTTCTAGAAAGATAATTATTGTTAAAAATTAATAAATCATCATCTTTAAGAACATTGGAGGAAGTTCTAAGGTTATTAGGTTGCTAAAGTTTATGGTTTCAATAGATATTTATGTAAAAGAAATTCTGCTATATATATATTTTTTGATTATTCTTGTTAAAGGAAAAAGATAATTAATAATCAGATTTTTACTCTTATTTATATTAGAGTGATGCAAGATTTACAATAGGTCACTCTAATAATGAAGTAATTATAATTGTTATTGTTATAGATTTTTTATTTGTTTGTTAAGTATTATTAATCAATTGAAATTTTTTTTATGTGTATTATATTATATTATTTTTTTTTGTTTGTTAACATTTTATATGAAGGCTTTGTTTAAAGAAATATTAATTTCTGAATTCTTTTTTTTCTTTTTTTTTGTTATTATTATACTAATAAATTTTTTTTTTATTATAACTTGATCAAAATTTCTTATAATAATTTTAATAATGAGGTATTTTGCATAATTCGTTGAATGTAGTTTTCTTTCTTTTATGATTAATTACAAACAACTTTGATAATTCTGGACATGTTTTTTCTATGTTCACAGATTACATTCTTACTTTAATCTTTTAACAAAAAACTCAAATATAGTTGACTTGAATTGGAAAGTTTGTATAGCATTAGGTTAATAGAATTTCAAATCTGTTTTTTTTTTGTTTTGTGTTTCTCAAATATTGGCAAATAAGGTTTTAACTATTATGATCTTACAGTCATTACAAAAATTATAATAGATTATATAATCAAGTTCAAAGATGGAGCAAATATAATGAATTGTTACTAAAAAAAAGAGTTATAGCATATAATATTCTTTAAAAATATAAAAGCCAGTTTTTCAATTTGGCATTGATTTGGGTGATCAAAGAGGAATATTACAAGATGAGTATTATGTTTTTTAAGAGAATATATATTTATTTTACAAATTAAAAAAAGCTTTATTAATTTTATTAATATTTGTAAAAATAATACAATTATATTATTAGAAGTGGTTATAAATTATTCTAAACTCTTAAATAACATTTAGATACTTTGATCTTAGAAGAGAAAAATTTCACTCTTTTTATAATAAATTGAACATGAAAAGAGCCTACACAAGACTATAACTTTTCTTATTATTCTCAACACTTTTTAACATTATTTGTTATAACTTTTAATCTCTTTTATATAACTTTTCATTATTTTAATATTTTTTACAGCTTTTATTAAACTGATAAAAAATGTTTTAGTTTTATGATTCTGAGCCCAGAATCCATTATATTGTCTTCAATTACATTCCCTTTAATATCACCTTATACTTAACCTAAGTAAGTTAAATAGATGAAGTCAACATTCATTTTTAGCATAATAGGTTGGTTCAGGTTGACCTTACTTTAATTAAAAAGGGTAATAGTGTTTTGCATGAAGACTTGTGTATTTCATATGGCTTCTTTGTAACTGAGTATACATGTTTCAGATGGATTGATATGGGCACCTCTAATTAGATAAGTATGCTACAATAATGTTTATTTTGTAGATTCTATGAGATATTAGTTTTATCTCTAATAATAGTAAAATTTCTATAAAAATTTATACAAACTTAACATTAAAATATATCATTAAACAAGTATCTATAATTAGTATGTTTTTTTATTATTAATTAAATTAATTTATTAAATTAATAATTAATATTACTACAGATATATAGAAAGAAAATAGTTTACAAAATGTATTTCTTGAAAAAAATATTACCTATATACAAAATCATCATTGGACTTTTTGACAAAAAAAATAAGTTATTTTCTTATTAATTATTTATATAAAGTTTTTAAAAACTGTAGAAAAAATAAACTTCAACAAGAAAAAGAAAAAAAAACCTACCTTATATTATTTAGCTAGTATAAATATAAGTATAAACATAAAATGCTTTTCTACAAGTTATAGTATAAGATTTCACCACATCTTAATTTATATAACCATTGTTACAAGTTTTTAGACAAGGATAAGGTTTTAATTTGTAGACATTATTACTACAAAAGTTATTACACATTTATGAAAAATGCTTGCTAATACAGTAAGAAATACTTTAAAAAAGATATCTACTGTGACAGGTTTTATAAACAGGTTTAGAGAAGGGGCAGATGAAATGGATTATTACTAAAAAAATATTTATGTTATGTAATGTTATTTAATAATAATAAAGGTGATTTTTTGATTTGATACTGGTCAAAGCAATTGAAAAAAAATGTTATAAAATAAGTATTACAATTTTAAAAAAACATATTTATTTTACAAGTTAAAAAAGACTTTATTAACTTTATTAATATTTGTAGAAGCAATACAATTATATTATTATGAGCAGCTATAAACTATTCTGAACTCTTAGATGATACTCTTGTAGTTTTGTACTTGGAAAGGAGAAATTCCATCCTTTTTATAATAAATTGATTGCAAGAAGAGCTTGTGCAAGACCATGACTCTTTTTATTATTCCCAACACTTCTCAACTTCATTTGTTATAACTTTTAACCTCTTTTACAAAACCTTTCATTACTTTAACATTTCTTATGGCTTTCATAGAACTGATGAGAAATGTTTCAGTTTCACTATCATGAGGTCAGAATCCATCATATTGTTTTCAATCACACCCTTTGACATTGCCTTACATCTAACCCAAGTAAGGTAAGTAGAGTCAATGACCATTCCCAGTACAACAAGTTGGTCCAAGTTGACTTTATTTTAATTGGAGGGGATGGTGAGGTCCCACATGAAGGCTTGTGTACTTTCATATAACTTCTTTGGGGCTGGGCACACATGTTTATGAGCACCTCAAATTAGGTAAGTATGCCACAATAAT